AAGTGACGCAAATCTCTATCGATCTCGGGGTTCTGTGATTGGATTTTGACGATTTTGTGTCCATTAGAATCGTCTCACCGAGACGAACATTTTGGTAATTGTTTCGTCGAAAACGGATCAGTGGATTAAAAGTTATTCATTTTTAAATAATTTTGGAATTTTCAATAGTAAATTCCAATAATCCTCCGATATGGATTTTATGTAACACTAAATATTGATGTCCGTTTCTACAAGCTTGTCGATATACTTTTACGTGTAACAATATCTTTTTAATACTTTCCATAATAACATCGTTAGTATCTTTAAATTTTATACTTCTATGTGATGGTTTAACCATGTCAAATTTTATATTTATGTGCATTTATTATCCAATTTTTTATATGAATCGTTCTACTATTATCCATTTTCATAAGAAACTATCCAAACACTATCTAATTAGCTTATATTATAATTTGCGTCATAAAAATTATAATATTTTTCAATAAAATTTTGATATCAAAGTTACCCGTTACTGATTTTAGTGTTTTTGTGTGACTACGTTGCACAGCTATCTAATAGAAGCAAAGATAATTATTGTTTGCATGCATTTGTTTGTATTTATACTGTACAACGTTTTTATGCTAAAGATGAAATTTATTTGTTCCACGCATACTAAAGAGATGCCTATCGTCACGAAACTTATATTCGACGTGATTATATTTATGACCCTTTGATTCTGTGATTCGACTACAGTACTTGATCTTGAATCCATTCGAACTTTTATCTTTCGACTCTTAAATACTGAAATAATACCTTATAAAATTGTTCAGATCGAAACAAATAATGTAAGGTGAGTGTAAGTATTAGGCCGTTCGAAGTTGATTCTTCGGTTACATAATCCCCCACCGAAGTCTCCCCGATAAACGAACAACCAATCAAAACGCTGGATTACTTTCGCCATTACTTGATTTACGTCGACCAATAAAATTGGCCCATTTTTATATGTTCTTTTCATTTTACCCCCTCCTCCCACATTTCAAAAGTTCTAAAGGTGATATTAACCGAAGAATAAACTTCGAACAGCCTTATGGTGAATTGAACATATTACAAGGAAACTGGGGGTTTTTTTTTACTAAGCAACTCGAACTTCTTTCACTAGGCAAAGTTTCCCAAAATGGCATTTTTTACTTACTCAAATTTTGGCACACGGATAACTTTTCATCAATGATTTTTTTTTTTCGTTATATTCTTTGGTGCAGAAATTAATTTTCTGCGCCAAAACGTACAACGAAAAAATCTTTTAATAAAACGTTATCCATATTGCGCCAAAATTTTGAGTGTAAGTAAAAGATGGCATTTTGAACAATTTTACCTAGTAAAAGTAATTCGGTTCGCTTAACAAAAAAAATCTCGTTTTAAGTGAAAAAAAACTTAAGAGGTGAAGATCACATGAAAGAGAAATGTGTTACGTATGAATAAAAAGATCGTCGATTTACATATGTTCGCCACTTTACTCATCAAATTAAAAATTGTATCCTTCTAAGTAACGCCACATAATTTATATTAAACTCGGTTTTTTAAGTATTATAATTGTAAAGCAGGTTAAAATTTACATAAATATAAAAAAAATTTTAAAAAAACAAATTTTATTAAGTTTTATTAGTATGAAGTGTTAACTACCCACACCCACCTTATGTAATAAAATTTTTAAAGTGTCCTTTTTTTTAATTTTATTAGAATTAAATTAAAGCTATTAATCGCAAGAATAGATGACTAAAAAAAGAGTTACCCAAATTTTAATTTACATTTTAATCAGTATTAACAAAACCTATCACCTATACCGAGCAAAGTCAGGATTTTTTTTAATGATACATATGAATTCACTAATATAATTACTGATGAAGCATTTAAACAAACTAATTATAATCTACCAAAGTAATATCAAACAAAAATCATTACGTGCTCTCACTAAAACCGAAATGTTTTATTCTAATTTATCTTTTAAAATAGTTAAATCAGAGATTTTTAATGATTTAAGTTGTAAATGGAGCGTGTCAATTGTTTCTTGAACAGTTGACTCTAATGTTGAATAATCATTGTTTTCGGATTTTTGCTGTATAATATAAGAGAAAATATATTTATGTTTAGAAAATCGTTAAATATAATAAAATTTTCAGATTATAAATCTATATAATAATTACCATAAAGTTTGTAGGTTTATTGTCCTATGAAATATATTAGTAAATTAATATATGATCAATTATCAAAATATAAAAAGAAAACAAGATATACATGTAAAAACTTACTATACTTAAAATACATTTTTCATTATTGAAAATCGTTGATAATTTATGCCTTGGAGTACTACGATTTACAGTAATCCCACTTTTAGAGCCATCTAAAACCCTGAAATTCAATTTCATAACTACATCATCTTCAAAATTTCTTTTTAGTTTGTTTTGCAAACAATGAATTATTAGTTTTCTTGGTGTAATGGGTTTAAATATGCTGATAGTTTGACCTCCAATCTCTTTAATTAATTTTTTTACTAAAGTCCTTCCATTGGTGTTTGAAAATGCCATGAGAATAATTAATAAGTCGTCACCATGCATTTCTCTTAATTCTAATGCAACTTTAGTAATTTCATCTGCGTTGTTTTCATCAAGATTGATTAATATTACAGTATGAAGTGCCTGATTATGTAAAGCTTTATGATATCTTGTCGTTCGAATCCTTTGATCACATTTATCAAACGATTCAAATTTTATACTATTTTTAAAAGTATGTGATATTGCATCCCTTGCGATTTCAAGAGGATGAATTAATACAATGCGTCTAAAAATATGATTAATCGACTCAGTATAATAATTTGGAGTATTTTGAGTGGCTGATGTTGGCATTATTTCAACATTCCATGTAAACCAAAATTTACTTCCTTTTCCTAATTGACTTTCTACTCCTATTTTACCACCATTAATTTCTACTAGTTGTTTACATGTTTTTAGTCCAAATCCTGTACCATCTTGTTGTTTAGCTTTTGATGTATTAGTATTATTTTTCCAAATATATTTCTGAAATTCAGGGCAAATACTGTATATATATATTTGTTGCATAATAATATATTGCAAAATGTTAGATATATTGCAAAATATATTGCAAAATATAATATATTGCATAATATCACATAAATTATTATGATTAGCTTACCCCAAACCAGTATCGTTTAATTCAACTAATAATTCTATTTTTTTAACAGAATCTGTAAAATGTTGTGACTTTAAGGAAACTTTCAATACAACTCCACCTTTTTCAGTATGTTTTATTCTTTATTAAAAAAATAGTTTAGGATGTTCAATAGTTTATACTATAGTATAAAATGATAATTAATATAGGCTGCCGTCAATAGAAATAAGGCGGATTAACGTTTGTAAAAAAATTATACCTTAACTTCCTCAGCTCCTATCTCGATGAATTCTTTTAACTACGAAATCATCAAGATAGCTTTGAATATGAGTTGTGAAATTTTAAGATAGTTTTTTTAAAAAAATATTAATCTGCCTTATTTTTATTAATGGCTGCCCATGTGTGACTTGTGAGAAAGAACTTTGCTTACGCGTTTGATAATAAATTCATTAATATTTGTTTTAATCTATATTAAATAAAAATTTAAAATATTTAATTATTTACTTTTACTTTATAAAATGAAATAAAATACAAATATTACCGTTCAGGATCACTTATAACATTGCTTGGCAAAGTATCTAGTTCGTAACTTAAAATTAATTCTATTTGCTTATTTCCAGCTTTTTCATCAAAGATTTCAATTGATTTTTCAAATAAATTTAATAAATCAAAAGGTTTATTCTCCAACATATTTTTATGTTCTTCAAAATTTACTTCGTTAATCATATTGTTAACCGTAGATAGTACAGAATCAGAAGCGTTTACCATGATTTTAATCAAATCTTTTTGCCGATCATTTAAATTTTCATCTTCAAAGGAAGAAAGAACGCTTATGAATGCTCCTAACGGAGTTCGCAATTCTAAATTATAAAAAATTAACTAATATTTATAGAATAAAACAAAGAAAGAGAAATAATAAAATAATGCCTTACCATGAGACACGTTAGCTAATATTAGATTATTTTTATTATTAGCAGCTTTAATAGATTCTATTCGTGATTCCTCAATCATTTTTTCTTTTGTTAATCGTGAATAATTAGTAGCTGTGTCTATATTATCTGCTAATTGTTGAAATAAATTAATCTCCAAATCACGCCAAATAGAATTTGGTGGTCTATGTGCCTTTATCCACCCCCTATAACCATCTCCAACTTTTACCCTTACAGATAACATAGATGTTTGTTTATCAAAGTCAACACAATATGTATTTGGCAAAACTTTTACTCTAAAGCTTTCAGAATCGTCATATTCTAAACATTTCTGTTGACAAGTCTTAATCTTCGAATGTTCAAATACTGTAAGATTTTTATATTTTCCAGTACTATTGAAAATTTAATAGCTTGGTATTAGATTATTAGTATTCTTTATCGATACATAAAAATAATAACATACCTCTTTGTATTTAAACCTTCAGATAGAGCAATTATTGTATGGCCTCTAAATGTTAGATTTTTATTTTCACTATTTGATGGATCACATGAAATAACAAATACCCTATCACATTGTAATATTTTATGAATATCCTTTACAACTTGTGAAAAAGTTTCTTTTAAATCTAATCCAGTAAAAATATTATCTGAAATTGAAAGTAATAATTGGCTTATCTCTTCTTCCATACATTGTTGAGTTATTAATTGCTGACGAAGTTGAGAAAGATTAATATTAGTACGTATACGAGCTATTAATTCTCGAGTACTAAACGGTTTTATTATATAGTCATCCGCTCCATATTCTAATCCTGAATAAAATTAAATTATAAAAAATTTTTGAGGATTTAGGCAACGATACTGTGACATGGAGAAAATGAATTATTTATACCAGTAACTTCATTTGCTCTTGCAGTTAATAAGATAAACGGAATTAATCGAGTCTTAATATTAGATCTTATTATCTTTAATAGTTCATAACCATTTGTATTTGGCATCATAACATCTAGTAATAAAATTAATTAAATTAATACTTTTTTATTATGATATTGTTTTAAGTATAAAAATTAGCTTACCACTAAGAATTAAATCAGGTGGTTTAGATAACGTTGCTAAAATTGTCATAGCATCACTACCATCATGAGCGCAATAAACATCAAATTCTTTTTTCAATAATTCCTTTAAATAATTTCTATAAAAGTTAAGGTATATAATTAGAATGATAAATTTCATAATTCTTTTTAACAGATGTAAAATTTGTTACCTCATATCAGCATTATCTTCAACAAGCAAAATTTTATGTCTTGTAGTCTCAGAAAGTATAACTTTATTATCTATTAATACTTTATTATCATCAATTGATTTTGAATCTAATTTATTTTCTTTATTAATTATAGGTGAATTACTTTGAATCCATTGTAAATTTTCTTCTAAATATAATTGCTTTTTAGTGAATAATTGTTGTTCATTGCTCGATTCATTTTCTTTTCTATTATGATACACTTGATCTTTTGGTAAATGTTTATATCCTGTTAAAAATTTACATTTGAATGTTGTCCCTTGACCTAGTTTTGAGGTTACGGTGATATCACCACCATGAAATATAATAAGTTGCTTTACGAGAGCTAGACCAATTCCAGTGCCTTCATAACTACGTGATTGTTGATTATTTACACGATAAAATCTTTGAAATATATTTGTAAGATTAATTTCTGAAATTCCAACACCTAAATTAAAAAATATATATATAAAGAATATATAAGTTTGTTAATTCATATAATTTCAAGCCTAAATAAAGCTGTACTGTTAACCTGTATCTGATACTTCAAGAATTATTTCATTTTTACGTTCAATATATAAACGAATACGAACATGTCCACTCCAAGTATTTTTGAATGCGTTTGAACCTTTAAAAATTTTTTTATAGCTTTAGAAAATTTTTTCAGATAAAAAATAGAAAATATCATATTATATAAAATATAAATTTTTTTATACATACAAAGGTTATAAACAATTGTTTCAAACATTTCATGATCTAAATAAACATTGTTTTCTAAAGCTTTTTTAAATTCGGTTGGATTTGGAATATCTATAATGTAATTTAAACCTAATTTTTGAGCTATACTATTGAAATTCGCAGCTAATTCTTGAGTAAATTTTGCTATATCAGTTTTACGAAATTGTGCATCAAATCGACCGGATTCAATATTTGAATACTGTGAAATAAAAATATTGGATTTATGAAGTGTGTATTATCTTAAATTTTAATAGTCTTTTAAAGAATAAATAACTTACCTGAAGTATAGTACTAACTAGTTTAAGTAATCTACGAGTGTTACGTTGAATAGTTCGGAGATGAGAATTTATAGTTGATTCTCGCATACAAGAACTAATAGCCTCCTCAATTGGAGAAAGTGTTAATGTTAACGGACCTAGAATAATTGAAATAGAAACACTTTAAAATCATGCATAAGAGTAACATAATATATATAGTAATTAAGATAATTGATAAGTACTGAGTAGCTCATGACTAATATTTTGAAAAAATTTTATTTTTTGGCGGTTTAATTCAGCCAATGATTCTGAATGCTTTTTTTCCTCTTTTCTTGATATACAACGCGTTAATGCTAAGCCAAAATGATTCACAACTAGCTAAATAAATCAATAGTCAAATAATAAATAAAATAAATTAATAAGGCATTAATATCAGAAGTTTAAATTTAGTAAATATAAAGTTATTTAATCTTACGTCAAATAATTTCATATATTCATCCTCAAGTGGACGGCATGGATTAATGCCGCAGATAAGTGTAGCTGATAAGATTCGATTACCACCATATAAAGCTTTAATAGGAAATAATATTGCATAGGTACCATCTTTTAAGCAAACTTTTACTGGTTTATCTTCTTTCACAACGAGATGGATAGGCCAAGAATTACATTTTAAAAATAGTTGAGTAGACGTTGTTGTTGGCCATCTTACGCCTACATATTCGTCATAATTTTCATCAGCATTTTTACTTAGATTAATTATTTGAGGAGTCTCCAATAATTTATCAGACATATATTCATCGTACATATCAAATGTGGTAGCTATTAGACGAGCAGTACGAGGTTGAAAACCGGAAGATAATTTATTATTATCAATAAGATAAATCAAAGCGAAGGGAAAATCTCTATCGTTTTCACGTAATGTTGAAATCATAATCTTGCAAGCGTCTTCTAAGGATTCAACGTTCTTAAAAGATGCTTTATTAATAATACACGATTAATATACACGAAATCTATATTTCAAATCTTTTACTTATTAGTAA